CATGTGTTAGTTATATGGAATTTTTTTTTTTTTATTTCTTCTTTTAAAAATCATTTAGGTTTAGCTTATTGTTGGTGGATGATTATAAGGTTATTGTATATCAGAAATGCTGTGTATTTTGGTTTTGGTTTTAGGAGATTTTTTAGAGCAGCTTAAATTGTATATTTTCAACAAGTTAGGAGCTTGATTGCAGATTTTCAGCAACAAGTTGTTTTGATTTTTTTTTTAAGATAAATATAGGTAATAAGATAGTATACACTTAATCTATATTTTTCTATTTTAAAAAAACATTCAGGGTTTTTTGACCCATTTAAAAAAAAATCTATCGGACCAAACCAGTTCCAGTTCTAACCGCTCCAAGCCCCATGTTGCGAACACTAGTTGGGACACAGCGGCCTGTTACATACGGGGCCATTAGGCTTATACTATTCTATGAGTTAGTGGGCTCACCCTAGCATCTTCCTATACATAAGAAAAAGCTCATGTTAGTCAATTGGCTCATAGAACAGTGTAAGCCCAACGGCCCAGATTGAATCTGAACCGATCCAATGATTGTATTTCGTAATTGAATTTTAATTTTTTTTTTTACAAATCTAAATTATTTGAAATTTGGAACATCTATTCTTCAATAAGAATCTAATAAAAATATCAAAAAAATAATTTGCATAAATTTAATTAACCAAAATACCCTTAAATTTTTCTAGAGGTATTTTGGTCAATGTATTTTATGTAAATTATTTTTAAAAAAATATTTTTATTAGGTGCGCCTGGATGATGAGAGTTTATTCTCAAAATTTCATTCTATTTGAATTTATATAAAAAATAGTAAAATTATATTACCGATATACGGTCATGATCGTCTGATCTGCTGAGATTCAATCGAGACTATTGGGCTTATACAATACCATGAGCTAGTGGGCTCACCCTAGCATTTTTCACATATATATATAGGTTTATCTAGAATTAACAACCCCTCAAAATATAAAAATTGAAGTTAGAAGGGGTTGTGATGGGTGTATTTATCACAATAATTATTATTTTTTATTTAAAAATTATTTAAATAGGTAACTTTACCATTAAGCAAGAGCAAATTTGAAATTTGAAATTTTCAACACTTAATTTGTATAGTGCCTTTGTTCTTTAGTTAAAATTTCAATTTTACCCCTTATGGAGATGACAGAAGTACCCTATATTTTGTAGTAATATTTAAAAAATTACCCTATAAAAGAAACTTTTTTAAGGAAATAGACTACAAAATTAATAAATCCACCATTCACAACCCTCTCTATCTTGAACCTTTGTAATTTGAAGGGTTGTGAAGTTTAGAATATCCATATATATATATATATATATATATATGATGCAATAAGATGAGGGAAATTAGAATTAAGTGAACTGGCCATGTGCATTGTAGACCTAAAACAACATCGATTAAGAGATATGATTTGGTTTAAGTAAAAGGCTCAAAAAGTATAAGGATAAAATTCAAAAGTATATTGATAGAAGTAGTGAAAGTATGTACTTTGGGGAATTTGGCAAAAGAGCGAAGAGTCTTTTCGGGAGTTGTGTTAGAAAAATCTATCCTTTAATCAAATATATTAGTATTGGCTTCAAATTGGTTTTCTACTAATGAGGACTGTGCAGGTATTCTCTAAAGCTTTATAATAATGATTCCTCATGAAGTAGCTAATCTTCATAGCTATATCAATATGGAACACAGTATGGATCATCCTCCTTCAAACACCTATACACTCAACTTTTATGGTAGTTCTTTTGGAAATTTAGGAATTGAGGGTTTTAGGGGGCTTATCAAATATCATCTTGGGAGGATTCTATTGTTTTACTTTGGTCCTTGTGGTAATATAAAAATCAATGGAGCATAAGTTAGATGTTTACTAGAGGAAATTAAACTGCTTTCAAAATTTGATGGAGGAAAGGTTATTGAGGGGGATTATGTGAATATTATAGCATGGTGTAAAGGATAAGCGAGAGTTCTTTGGAGTCTCACTTCCATTTTTCATGAAATTGATAACAACCTTTAATCATTTGAGTTTGATATACTCCATTGTTACCATGAAGCAAACGTTAACGCAGATTCGTGAAGCAAATGGTAAAGCAGATTCCTTAGCCAAGGGAGGTGTTTTCAATGCTCATTGATGATTACCAATTTCATTAGAGGTACCTATGTTTTGTATTTCGATCCCCTTGTAACTATACTTGTTTATGGTTAATAAAAGTCATGTGTTAATGCTCAAACAAAAAATAGTGAAAAAGACATGGTGACTTTTGGTGTTCCTGAGGGTCATGCCCTTGATATAGAAGAGTGAAGGAATATGATTCATACAGCCAAATCCCAAATAATTAAGATAAGGCTTGGATGATGATGATGAACTTCATACAGGTCCTAATACTAACAATAACAAATAAAAATAAAAATATCAATTAAGGCATTACAACCCCATGAAGAATCTCTTAAGCAACAAAAGATCACAATTATAATGGTTGTTTTTTTTTTTAATTTCTATTTCAATGAGGTACTATCTCAAAAAATATAAATTTTCAAATTACCTGGACAAAACTATTGAGAGGCAGTTTGGTAAATTTTACTCCCAAAAATGCCTCAATAGAAATAAAAAAATGCCCTTGTAATTACCAAAAAAAATAACCCCAATTGTTCAATTTTCTCAATCTCAAATAAGAACAATTTCAGCAATTCTCAATTTTCTTTTTTTAAGATATATTTTATTGAAATAGAAGTTTAAAAGAAAAGTCCTCAAAATGTAGATTATTATCTTTTCAACCCTTTGATGATTTTCTAAGGAGTTAACCTTAATTGATATTTCTTCCGTTAAAACATTTCTAAATGACACTCTATACAATAGAGAAAAATAATGTCTCAAGATTGAATAGATATTGTCTAATTTTTTGTCTAATGTTTTCAGGGTGACTAAATGTTAGATAACTTATAATTTTAAAAAATTATTATAAAAATAAATATATAATTATAAGTGGATTACTAAAATTTTAAACCGAAAAAATCACCCAATTAGGTCATCCTGCTGAAAGAGTTGATATATAGTAATGGTCCTGCACAAGCATAGCACGCGATCCAAAAAGTCAAAAAACTCCTCTCCCTCTCTCTCTCTCTCGCCAATTCTTCCGATCCGATCCACCGTTTCCCCGGATCCAACACGCATATGGGTGCGACCGATTCGTGTCACCAATACGTTTTTTTTTTTCAACCTTACTTTCACCGGTATCCACACTTCACGTATTTCTCTCTCTAACTTATGCGAGGGGTCCGAGGGTGCCTTTGGGTCGTAGATCGGAGGATGCGTAGAGTGTAGTCCCATGGAAGCAAACTATACACGGTTCCTCCGGCAAAGAATCACCTGGTCGATAGTTTTTCTCAATTTCAAAATTTGGGATCCATTAAAAATAAAATTTGAGTTCCTAAACACTTAAATTAGGCAGTCAGTTGCACATACTAACAATAAACAGAATGCAATGAAATATGATGCAAAAAAAGGGCTTTAGGATTGAATAACAATGCAATATGGTGCAAGAAAAAAATTAAATTAAATTTAAATGGGAGTAATATAGGTAGGATTGAGTGGCGTAATTCCCTATATTTAATATTTATTGAAAACGTGATCAGTTCGATTAATTCCCAATCCAAATAGGCAGGTCTCGAGTCATTAGGTAGTAATTTAAAACAACGTTGATTCGTTGCGTAGTTATTTAAAACAACATTGAATCTAATCCAGAATCAAAGGAGTCCCACCCAATCTCAATCTCACTCAAACGACTAAAAGCTTTTTTTTCTCCAAGATATAATTAAGGGTGCACTTGGCATACGGATGCATCCGTAGCTCTAGAGGTAAGATGCACCTTCAAATTTTATCATGGTATATAATTTTGATAGAAAATGTTTTTAAGGTTATCTCAAAATCTATGTTTACATCGAATTATAAAATTTTAAATTTTAAAAATAGTTAATATCAAATAGATCTATAAATATATGAAAATCTTGAGAATGGACGTTGTAAATAATATATTGTAAAATGCACTATTTGTAAGACTTAAAATATTTTTATTTTTCTTAATCATATATCTTAATGTTGAGATGATCAATCAAATTTTCAACATTAAAATTACCTGTTCCGATAGATTTTTGAGGTTCATATGTAGTTCTACATTATAATTTTACATCCTTATATAAACTTTTTCCTATAATTAATACACAACATTAAGAGAAAGTTGATAAAAATGTTACAAACCAATGTTCTATCATACTTCCCATATAAAAAGTAATACATTGACATTATAATTGACCTACTCGTATAAGGAAAATGTACAGATAAGATCAACGGCCCGTATTCAATTTAGACCGAACAAATTATCACAATTGTATTTTATATTTAAATTTTTATTTATTTTTATAAATCTACATCTCTTAAAATTTTAGACATGTTCTTTAAAAATAAAAAAATCCAATAAAAATATCAAAAATAATATTTCGTAATAAATAAATTGATCAATATACCTCCAAAACTTTTTAACAGTATTTTAATCTATTTATATCTTGTAAATTATTTTTTAATATTTTTATTAAATACACTTTGATAAGAAGAATAAAGGCTTATAATTTTACGTAATTTAAAATTATGAAAAAAAAATTAAAATTAAAATACGAAACATAATCATGCCTATCAAATCAACCCAAATTCATGGGCTCATATGTAGTTATAGGCCCACTAGCCTACCGCTACCATTTCCCCTCGTATGAATACCATCATGCTTCCCATGTCATAACAAATGTGTGATATTGTTGGCTCACTCATATAAGTACCGTATGTATTGAAGCACAAAGAACTCACCTCATAACAGGAATAAGATTCAGCACCATCTCCATTTTTCATTTTGCAAATGGCCGGAAACAATCCGACAACGCCACAAAATGAAACACCCCCATGAAGAATGAAACATCACATGGCACATTTCTTAACAAAAGTTTTACTGATAATAACATAATCCCTTCCATGACAACAATAGAAGAGTGAAATACAAAGTGTCCATACAAACCATAAGGAACCGAAATCAACATGGCCGGTTGAACATGCAACAGCCAGAACATAGTCAAAATTAAATGCCTAACCTCCATCTTACCAGATGCTGAGTTCTTCTCTTTCAATTGCAATGTCAAAATGCAAAATACTCTTAGTTATAGAACTAGAGAGAGAGAGAGAGAGAGGGACCTAAGCTTGACCAACCTTTGAAAAGCTGACCAATTCAGTGCAAAACTTCTTAAGTTAAAAACAAGTACAGGTCCTTTACCTTACCAAACGCAAAGTGCCTCAACAGTTGAAAAAGCAGAATCCCAACTATGGAAGAGAGTATCGGTGTTTTTATGCACGACCAACTTTTGAAAAACTGACCATGCGAGTTGTGTTATCAATCTGAGATCCCTTTCCAGAAGCACCACTCTGGTATGGTGTCCTCCCCACACTACTATATGCATCTTGGTAGCGAGTACTCTGGTAAGGAGCCGAGTAACCTCCACCACCCCTACTCCCTTGACCACCCCTATCCTTAGAGAAACCACCACCGACACCAGAAGACCCACCTCTACCATAGGCGGAACGCGCACCATAACCGCCTTGTCTCCCTTGACTCGAGAAATCAGCCTGCCATTTTCCACCAGTCGCCCCTGCATAGTCTTGACCCTCTCTCCTCCTAGACGGGAGGCCATCGAGCCCACCCCCTGTTCGAGCCTCAAAGGCCCTCTCATTGCTATCCACGAAGACCGAGAGCTTCTCAGCATACAACGAGGCCAAGGCTTGAAGCCTTGTGTGCTCAACGTTGTGGAAGACCAGGCAACGAGTGGGTTGGTGCCAACTCGCATGCAACTCTTCAGTGATCATCATCTTGCTCACAAGGCTATGAACATGGGCCTCCGAGAGCTCGAACATCGCAGTCAATTGATCAAGGCTCAACGAATGATAGCACGAAGAGTACGCGAAGAGATAGGTTCTTAGGGCCTCATCTTTTATTTTGTTCTTTAACATGCCCAAGACTGTTTGGAGGTCCTTTACGAGTTTCCACATGTCTAGGGATTCGATGGCTTCAAAGGCCTTGCGAAAGTCACCCTTGATGAGGGAACGCGTGGCAGCCATGACATGGTCGCGCACATTCTCAGGTGGGCCCGTGAAAGTCTGTCGCTCACTAACTTCGAGGAGGCGGCGAAAGGTCTTGCTGATGACCTTGCGCTTGGCATCATGAGTGTTGGCTGCCATGTTCGGGACCTCAAGGAGCATGGCACATATCAGGTGCACAGCCTCGAGAAGTTCGAGGTTGATATGCATGTGGTATGGCATCTGCCTTCTCCTCTCGAGCTTTTCCTGATAGAGAGAAAATTAGAGAAACTTATACATCTTACTAGTACAAAAAATACATTGATAGGAATGTAGAAGAAAAAAAGGTGGTAAAACACAAAAAAAAGTGTAAAAAACAAAAAAGAAGATGTAAATTCAGGTGCCTATTAAGAAAACAGGAGAAGAGCATTGGAACCAAAACAACCCTCCAACTACCCCCCCCCCCCCCTTCCCAACCCACAAGAAAAAGTAACCCAAAAAAAAGAAAAAAAGAACATCTCAGATTTATGACTTCTCTTTGATAAGGTGGGTTCTGGTAGTATATTCATGGCAATCAGCAAAGGGCTGGCTGGCAGGCTGCCTCTTGCATCAAGGAGGTTAGCTTAGCGAGCAACAAAAGCAGTGCCACCCAGATGTTCGTAGTTTTAGTGTCACAAGTAGGCATATAGCTTTATGTTTCATAAAAAGTAGGCATATAGCTTCACTTGATTAAAAGGGCATCATAGCCCAAAAGTCCTAAAGAACCTTGTCCGTGCATGTCATAGATTTTGTTAATTAAAACAAAAATCAATCCCAAATTGAGATGGGTGGACAGCTGAGACAGATTGCAGTACTCAGGACATAGATGCTCTCAAATGAATAAAATCTATAGAAGTCATGAAAACAGTATCATAGGAGTACGTAAATGCATTCATATGATGAAATCTATATAATTTTCAGAAACAAATATCCGATTGGATGGTTGCCTCAGTTTTCATCACACCAGTCATAGCCTGGCCATTCTAGCCTCCCAGGCGGGAAAAGGGGGAGGAACCAGGACAAACCTCACCGCCAAGGAGCCGATTGACCAGACAAACCAGCAGTGGCCCTATCAGTGTACATTCAATTATATAACGAAAAAAATATGAACATAGCCAACCAACCAACTACATAAATACACTTGATGCATTCAATGAATAAACTGTATAAAAGAAATGTAATCCAAATAAGGACATGAGACACCCATCATGGATACAGAACACAAGCACGGCGTGGAACATATCCTTTGTACTTAAAAAAATCATATAATTTGACAATGGAAGTGAGTTAAGAATGAATCAAACTTCTGAAAATGCTTCAGTGGGATAGGTGAGTGTGCATGTGCACGAACACAGACAGACAAATGCACACGTGCACACACACATAAAGCTGATATTTCATAATTGAATTGAGTACAATAAAGAAATACGTAATTCAATACCTTACTGATAAAAATACATATTCCAATATAAATCTGTGATATCTATTTTTTTCAATCAGTTTCTATCCTTGCAATGCTGGCACACAAGCTCAACAAGACCATGCACATAATGCCACAAGAATATGGGACATGGTGATCCATGTCTTCCAATAAGAGTCCCTATTATCAGTTTTCCAAGAATAGGGTTCATTAAGGTTGACAGCAAAGCCACCAATATATAAGAACCCAGTCACTTAAACACATAAGCTGATCAGCGGCTGGGGAGTGCTTCATGGAAGGTGAGGCATATCATAAAATGATATCAGCCATGGTTACAGATTGAATCAAGGATCATCTAATTTGCAACACATTGTACACGGCCTGGTGTCCGTCCCATGTTTGAATTTCCAAGTTGAAAACAGTTCCATAACTTCATATTTTAAAGGTAATTCAGTAAATGAAGATAAATTTATCTATTTTTTAGAGAAATAAATGAAAATAACTTCTATACAGATTCTGATTTAGAAGTAAATGAAGATAAATTCTATACAGATTAATGGTACACAATACAAGGTTGAGGTTTCTAGGTATGTTCCTCGTGAGAACAAAGCCATGGAATTAATCACAACACATGCAGAGTGAGCATGTCAACAAGCCAAGCCAGATCGCATGGAGGCTCAGCTCAACTCATAATGACCGCAGCTTGAGCAACATTTTGTGACTCGACAAGCCAAGTCAAGCCTAAATGGGCAGCCTGTCTATCAATCAAAACAAGCCCAAGCCAAGACAAGCTCAGGCTTGAGCTTGTTTAATATATTACTAGTCAGATGCAAATGCTTTGCACGTGCATTGAAGTGCATAAAGCCATTCAATGAAAAATATAAAATTAATTGAAATTAAGTTAGGAAAGAGATTTCAAATTCGGCAATCTTTTTTAATAAAAAATATATACTTTATCTTTCAAATTTTTGAAATAACAATAAAAATTTAATGTATTTATAAATTTGGGAAATTCATCAAAAATAGTTTGAAGAACTAAAAATTATTCAAAAAAAATAAAGTTATTCAAGTAAATGAAGAAACAATGGGTGCATATTTCAGGTTATATTCTGGGCGTCCAATCACCCCCTATTCAAAGGCTTTCCGTCCTCAGCATTCCATCAGAACTGGCAGGCCTTGCTTCATCCCCATCATCAGCAACCTTCTCATGCGCCTCTTTGGAGACCCCCTGAGAATGGCCTAATCAAGCTAAATTTTGATCGAATTGGAGGCCTTCTCCGAAATCACCAAGGCTCTGTCCTGGCCTCTTTCTCGAAACCCATTGGCCATGCTAATTCCCAAATCAGCAAAGGCGCTTGCCGTCCTCAAAGGGCTCAAACTATTCGACCCTTTCTGGAGCCCTGGACTGATAATTGAAGGTGACTCTCGGAAAACTATTGCCTGGGCTTCAGGCTCTACTGCCTGCCGTTGGTACATGCCGCATATCTTCGATGAAATTTTCCACCCAACAAGCTTCTTCCCACACTTCTGGAACCACGATTGGCTAGAGTGCAACACAGACACAGAAACCCCCCTTCTTAGATGATGGTTGCATATTTCTCTTCTGTTTTTTTTTTTAAATTGGAAGTCAGAAATACTACAGAAACACCCCTTCCCTAGAAGATCATACATGTAGGACCCCACCCGCTAAATATAGACATAGTAGTGAGTGGTATAATATAGTAAAATGTAATATAGTATATAACATGGTAGTCTAGTTTGGTATAGCAATATATTACTACACAGCATTGTTATATAATATAAAAGTATAGATTATGTTACATTCTTAAAAAAAAAAGAAAAAGAAATATAGATTATGTTACCACACTAGTCAAGCGCTCTCAGGGCCCTCGATCTTTAACCAGATGGAGCCTCTGCCTATATAATTTATCATTAAGCACAATTGAGTTTGGATCTAGCTACATTACATATTAAGCTCAAGATCCCCAAATTTAAAGGTGTATGAACCCTAATCCCTACCATCAGGAGCTTCTATCTAGTTATATACCCTATCCCAGATCTGGTTCAATCCCAATCCCAACAACTAGGTGTGAGCGCTGAATAACCTATAAACACTTTTCCTTTTTTAGCAGTAAGTAGGCACTCAAAGCGAGTCTGGTTCAGGTCAGAAGTAGGAGGCCCTTCTATAAAAGGGCACTCAGCAGGTAGCTTTGAAATATTATCAATGAGCCCCATAGAACAAAGGAGAGAGTTCAAAAGATTATCAAATTTGGTGGGAGCAATAGCAGGGGAACCTTTAAATCAACAGGGTGTAGTGGATAATTGGATATCATCATAATTTTGAAGGCAAAAGTTCTACTGTGCAACAAGTTTGTTGCAATTAATAAACAAACTTGATGCTTCCAAACACAACTCCTCATGGACAAAGTGTAGGTTGTACAGTAAACACACTATTTGTCCAAAGAGAAAACAAAGGGATGTGCTTAAAGCCATCACGTAGCTAGAAATAGGTCAACATACTGCTTGGGACGTAGCTAATACAATTAGCAATTTGCAAGTGTAGAACCAAATGAGAAATGTATGTTTGTGTGGGTGTGCATGTATGCCGCATACATAGAACAATGGGAGATCAAGTTTGAAGAATTTTTGTGCAATAATATGGCAGCATCAAGTAATGTTTTCAGTTGGGAGACATCAGGTAGAAGTAATGTCCTTACCAACACATTACACGAAATACATATATCTAAAATGTATGATAGGGAAGAACAAAAGCAAACCCATATACGAAGAGATATATAAAAAAACATATACAAAGAATTGCATAGCAAAGAATAGGAGAGAATGTAAATTACTTGTTCTGGGGTCTTCTCATGGTAACGACTCTGAGCAACACCTTGTGCAAGCAGCTCCTTCACCCTACCACCCGCATAAAGCTCAGATAGACAACCATGCGCTTCTGAGATGAGAGACACCCTAAAAGCACAGAGACCAAGTTGAGCCATTGCCCTGTTGAAAAGTATTTGGGTCGAAATATCCATGTGTTGGACACCATCTTGCAAGTGACTCATCAACAACAAGTCGCGAGCAGTTGCAAATTCGTCCAAAATTGCATGATGATATATATCACAGAGCATAGCCCTTGCCTTAGTGCGCTCATCACCATACTTATAGATAAGAGATACCAATTCATCCATGAAAGCTCGACTACTCTCTGGAAAAGTGGGCTTTCGAGGAACAAGCTCAGGTGTGACTACAAAAGCAGGAGGTCCTCTAAATTCTTCACCACCAACATGGGGTTCCTCAGATTTCCCATCTTCATCAATTTCCATCTCCCCATTCTCTGTAGAAGCTTGAGCAGGTGCTTCTGAAATATCCATTCGCTGCTCAGCCAACTTCCTCATTGCTTCATAAACTTCTTGGGGCTTATAATACACAAGCTCAACTCTTCTCAATGCAACTTTAGCAGCACCTTTTGTGTCGCCAATGCGTTGCAAATAATCCTGAACATTTTGTGCAAGCACAAAGAACAAAGGCTCATCTCTAAGCCTTTCAACATATTCCTTAGTGTGGGGATCAATACCCTGCAAGCTCTTGAAGAATTCACTATCCATTCGCTCTAAGAAGGCAACCAAGTTCCCCCAAACCCGAATTGTACCCTTGTAATCTGCATCCTTTTGGGTCTCATTCTCGTCAGACTCCACAGTATCATCAACCACAATATTTGGGTATTGCTCCAAAATATCAAGAATTGAAAGCACATTTTGGACGCATTTTTTCCATACATTTATCTGCATATGGCCACTAAGACTCGGATTCACATCGAATTGGGCAGAAACCACATGGAAAAAGATCTCAAGCTTTTGAGCAGGGGTTTTTGCAACCCTGGTGAGGAAAGTGAGCTGCTCAACCTGTTCAATTCTTCCAGTCCCCTTCTTCCCCCTCGCTGCAACTATTTCTTTAAGCTTCTTATCAACTGTTTCCCATGTTATCTCACTAGGGTCCTTCATAAACTGCTTGTCCATCATCTTATCTTTCTTACTTCTTTTCTTTTCCCAACCCCCCTCATCTTCATCATCTACCATATCCTTGTCTTCATCTTCACTCTCCGATAAAGTAGGGACCTTGGTAGGATCTTCGATGAACTCAGATTCCGAGTCTTCATCTTCTTCCTCCTCTTCCTGTTCATCTTCTTCTCCATGACCCTCTGCCCTATATTTCTCAATAAGGTCCTCAAATTGCTTGTTGTTTTTCTTGAGCTTTTGCTTGACTGAATTCAAGGCCCTAAAGTTACTACTACTCATCTTTTTCTTTGCATCTTTGTTTGCCAAAGCCTCGGCAAGGTAATCCTCAAGCATAACCAAAGCTTTGATGTAAAGCTTTGGTACCTGCTCGGATTCAGTAACTCTAATCACCTTCTCCAGCTGCTTGTTAATTTTATCGAAGCATTCTTGTAAGCTAACCCAGTCATTGATTTTCATCGCATTTTTCATCTGATCGATCGTTTGCGACATTTCTTCAAACCTCTTATCCTTTGCAGATCGAACGACCCTCCTTTGATCATCAGAATCATCAGAGTCACTGGCATTTCCTTGCATATATTTTGATCGAGCAATTGCCCCTGCTGAATCACCTGGAGGTCCTCCATTGTCAATTGATTCCTGAGAGGCTGTATCCTCATCCTCTGTGTCGCTATCTCCCTGATAAAGCAGAAGGAGAAGGGGATATCAGATCGAGGTGAGGAGTTGGGGAAATTAAATTGGAGAGAAGGAGAAGGGGATATCAGATCGAGGTAAGGAGTTGGGGAAATCGAATTGGAGAGATGAGCCATGAGTAGCGAGAGATAGGTATATGGTGAGGACAGGTGAAAATCAAGCGGAAGATGATCTTTTTATCTGACAAGGAAAAAATAAAAAATAAAACTTCACAGGGTAGCGGAAGATGATCTGGGAGAAAATGGTAGGGGAAAGCTGTGAGGCGATAAAAGATGAGGCAGAGAGAGAATGAGAGGAATCAGAGTGAGAAGATGCCTCCACTGAGAGGAAGTGAACTGGGCAAGTTATGAGAAAAAACAGTAGCGACAGAGAGGAAAAGGAGACGAAATCAGCTTTGAGAACTGGTCTCGAGAGAGAGAATGAGAAAAAAACAAAAAAAAACAGAAGGCTCGAGCATACCTGAGTCCAGAAACGTGAAGTCGCCATGGTGTGCGAGTAATCCTAGAATCAACCTGTAAATCGCTATAGAGATCAGTAAAATATTAGAAAGAGTAATCTGAGGAGATAGAGAAAAACCTGCAAAAATCTTAGAGAAATACCTGAAGTAGATAGAGAAACCCGCAAAAATTGAGAGATGGAAGAAAGAGCTATATCACAAACCCTAACCCTAGAAGAAAATAACCGCTGAGGCCCGAAAGCTACTTGAAGCTGCTCTATATATCATGGCTAAATGTTTGATAGGGCTGCTGGCCTATCAAAATATATAAAGCCTCACCTCATAACTCATCAAAAAGTGCACTTCAAATGTTCTTTAAATCGATCATCTCATGAACGTTATGGTTGTCCAAAAAAATTAGTATTTTAAATTTTAAAAGAGTAATGATCCTACGAGACTATCCCACACCTATATATATAGGACTTTAAAAGATCATCATTATATTTGATACATATCTTTAAAAAAATTAAGTATCACATTCATGTGATAACTTTTTTAAAGATCCGTGTCAAAAATTAATAGTAATCCTTTAGAGTCCTACACACACGGGTATAGGAGAGTTTTATAGGATCATTACTCATTTTAAAAATAGGGTATATTACAAGAAATCTTCTAAACCGTTCATTTCGCTCTTAAAAATAAGTGTTCACATATTTGTAGGATCTGAACTATTTTTTTAGTTTCAAAATTTATTGTCAGTGTTGGAAACTAATTTTAGAGCTTTTTGATGTCAAATGTGCTTTCTGGATGAGGATTTGAGGTGAGGCTTTATTTTGTTTTCATAAAGCCTAGGCCTTATAAAAACTTCATCGATATTTTATAGGGAAAATATCATAAATATAGCTTAATTTTAGCCTAATTGGAGAAAAAAAATTACACTTTTCATAAACTTTGTCTACACCTTTTTTCTTCATTTTGGCTTTTTTTTACTAAAATAACATTCACGGTAGGCGTATTACCATAAAAAACATTACTGTACTTTAAGTATCGTAATTTTTTTTGCATTTTATACAGTCTTTAAGTACCAGAATGTTTAACGCATTTTACCGTAATATCTCCAATCGTTATTACAATATTCGAACTATCGTAATACTTATTATACAGTATAAAAATAACTGTAATTATTTTCCGCTCTTTTGTTGATGATTTGTTTATCAAAAAACCCCATTTTTACAATTTTTTTATCATAAACCAGCTATTTTCTCATCTTCCTTGCCTTCCTATGTCTATCTCTCTTATCCATTTCTATCTCTCTCATCTATTTTATATTCTCTCATCTATTTATCAATCTTTGAAAGAGGTCTCTGAGCGCTATTTCCCAATCCGTGAGTATCAAATATACATGCCAACACTATTTTATAGATATGTCATCAAAATCGTCAAGCGTTTATTTCCTTGGATTTGTAATGGGAACATTCCATAAGAAATATAATGTTGTTTTTCTATAGTACTTGATGTAGTTGGGTTGGCTATTGTAATTTTTTAATTAAAATATCGTATAAATAAGTTTTAGATTTGTATTTATATTGTGGCATCTATATTGCAATCTAATGTCCCTCTATAATGTAACTTCCTCATTATATATAAGTATTTTGAAATTTCTATACAGTGATTAAGCTTTGCGCAATAATAATAGCTGACAACTGAGGGAAAATCATTTTTCACTTTAGTGATTTTTTCAAGATGAAATCTAATGATGGATATATTTTCTATGACGGTTATATTTTTTATGGGGATTCCATCATTTGACTAAGTAAATGATCACCTGTCAAAAGTATTAAATTATGTCACAAGTACCATGACTATGAGGTATATTGGCTTAGGGTTACCAAATAATAATAATATGATACGTATTGATGATGAAGTCTAAAATGTCGAAGCGCAAGATCTGGCATGTACCGCTCACAAATGCGTCTACATATGATGTATGTGCGACACAAAGCAATCTGACGAACAATAAGGCCATAATCTCTGTCATCTTTAATTTTCTCTCTTAAGTCAGAATAATCATTGTATGGAGTCTATATGACCTATGAAAAAAAAAAAAAACTCTTTAAGTTAAATAATCTACACCAAAAATTAATTGAAATATAAATAAACAAAATCAATAGTAACTATTCTATACTAACATCATTTATCCATACGTTATCAAATCTCTTGTCACCCCCACGAGACAGAAGTTGTGAGAGTTATCTAATTATCTAGGAGATGCCCACCTGAGGGATCTAGGTTGCCATGCCTTTAATTCTTTATAAATTGGGCGTAACAATTTGAAATGCTTGTACGCCCAGCACTGAAATGCATGTATACAAAATAAGTATTACAACAAAAAATATCTATCAAACTTAAAAAAAAACTTTCAAAACATTAATATACTAGCATTACCAATAAAAATGGCAGTTGATCCTCTTAAGTATTGATGACTAGGACGAACAACTTTTAACAAGCCAAGGCTAAGGCAACTGTACCCCATGCATACTGACCAACTACTTCTATATACTAAAAAAGCTGTAAATATATTGTAGGCATCGTACCAGCTGTGAAATCCATAAAGATTGTGCAACCAACTAGATATAGGAGGTAGGCACAGGTGTGTGTCGTAAAAAGGTGGTATGGTTATAGTTCAGTGGCAACTATTTGAAAGTATTCGTCAACCATGTCAACCGAATAATATAATAGTTACCACCAAGCGGCAGCTGTCATATCATGTTGACTACATAATCATCGTACTTCTCCACTCTCCTAAGTGTTACGGCTATACTAGTCACCCTTAAACGGATAATTTTCTATACATTTTCAATAATAGGCATCATCTCTCTGATGTCTACATTAAAGTGCCAAGTGTTCATCTCTATGCGCCACCTCTCGATCATAGTCGACAATGTGCCACGGTCATGATGAGTCATCAGTACTATGGTCAGAGAATACAATCTTGATCTCCTAAACAAATCGATTTAATCATTATTTGTTAAATGCAATAAAGAAACTATATTGGCCTTCTCATCAATCTTGAGGGGATTTTCCCGATCCTGAAATGGAATTTGTGAGTTCAAATACTAAATTAAATAAATTGATTAACCATCATGATAGACAAATAATATAATTTAAAACAATTGTACATACATCTCCAGGGTAGGGTGCATCTTCTGTCATGATCCCTGTTCAAAAAGCTATCATAAATAACAAACTCATGGTAAATAGACTACTACTAGTCTATGAGACACCTGACCAAGGATATGACAAAGTAAAAAAACAATTAGTAAAAGAAACTCATTCAATCATAATTGGGACACAAAGTTTAACTACATTCAATCATAATTGAGACACAAAGTTTAACTAACAAGGCAAACAGGAAATCACTTTCATATGTATTTTTATGGATAATTATGAAGATCTGTCATGATAAAGAAATCATAGATTTGCTGCAAAAATGTTATTGATATAATATAGAGCATCCTGGTTTGACGAGCATGATTACTACTCAAGAATAATTGAATAAACAATAAATTTTAAAGTGGAGTAATTTCATGTTTATTTTTAACTCGTAATCAAAGCCATATCAACCCAAAATAGTATAGATCATTTATTTAAACAATACCATCAACAAAATCCCATTTCAAAAGAAGCTAAAAAACAATAGATAACTCTCTCTCTCTCTCTCTCTCTCTAAAACTTTTCAAGGTTTATGGAGGCTATAGAGTCCAGATACTTGTACATAACATTATTTGCGGCTACTGTCAGCCATATCATTAATTTTTTGAAGCAAATCAATTAAAAAAAAAGAATCGATCATGAAGATTCATGTCAATTTACCACTTCATGATAACACTATATAGAGAGAAAGTGCTAAACCCGATTAGAAACTATGAAAGGGAGATAAATAAACTTAAAATTGACAATATACGACATATTTACCATTAATTGGTTGAAAGGCTACAAAGTACTAAACAAAACCTCAATGATCAGATGAGGTAACAGAACTGAGGGAGAGAGAGACCCCGTGGGAGATTGAATGCCAAAAATCTTGAGGTGGAGAAGAAGAGTAAAGCCCTAAAATGGTAAAAACAGAACCGTAAATGAGAAAATGGTTTTAGGTTAAGGTTTATAAGAGTCAATAGCAGTGTTAAAAAAACGCCGAGTCGAACCAAACTCGCCCGGTTCGACTCGGGAATCCCCATGGACGGATCGAATCGGCGAAATAAACGGGAATCGTCCGGTTCTAGAGAGAACCGGACTATTCTGTACAGTGACTCGCCGATTCACTGTACGGAATCGGCGAGTCCTGTACGGTAATTTTTTTTTTTTTTTTTTTTTTTTTGTAATCCATGATAGATTTTTTTGTAATACTTGATCGATTTTTTTGTAATCCATGATCGTAATGTTTTTTTTTTTTGGTTTAATCCATGATT